TAAAAATAATCACAACACATAACATGGCTCATTAAATAAACACTCATTTTCAGCTAATATCACATGAAGCTCACATTATAAGCTTCTTTCTTTTCCTCAATATACTAACACATAATAAGGCATTTGGAACTGATCTTAAGGCTCTTAATTAATTCAACCTCAGCACGATTAATACATCAATAAGCCTCAGAAAAATACAACAAATGGATCAAGGCAAAGACATGTACATACAAAGTTTCCCGTTCTCTTTCTTTTTTCTCACGCTTAACACACGTGCTAGGCCAACTTAGAGCTGAAACATATACTCTAAACACACTTAAATTTCAGCATGTAATATTCATATAATGCTCAGCAAAACAAATTATAATCAGGCCAAAAGATCACATAAACATAATTGCGGACATTTAAACATAACTCAGCAGCATGAAAATAACATAGTACATGCTCTGCAAATTTAAGACAAACAAGGTCAACAGTATACGAAATGCGCTCCTCTTTAATTCCCTTAATTAGCAACTAGAACATAAACATCAACTCTTCATAAAAACAAAATCCACACTAATCAGTCCAAAATCTCCACATGCTAATAGCCTTAAATAGACACAAACAGGAAGGTACAAAATAGCACAATTCAAAGCAGCTCTTCTTATCAAAACTTAACCCACAGGCATGAATTTCATCTGAAAACTAAAACACATACAACCACTTATACTCAGCCATATGGGGTACAAATATAGCACATCATTCCAACACATAACCAAATATTCTCGGCTAAACAGAGGGTAAAGGGGCAGCCAAAATACCTCTCGGGGCTTAAGAGAGATGAAAGGAAGAAAACTCGACTATACACCCGGCCTGTTGCTGCTCGCTCCGAACTCACCTCACCGCCCGGCAAAAGATAAACGGGCTTCAGCCTTACTCATTTCAGCCCGGACAGCACCCGAGTAACTCCGTTTCAGCCCGAACAGCCTTGACCTGAAAGGTCCGGTTCTCTCGTCAGCCGCATCTTCCCTCCTTCGCCATGGAGGTCTGCTCCCGTCAGCCGCGTCGCTGCTTGGTCCTCAGTAGCAAGGTCGCCGTTAATTTGCTGTCGGGCCGCCGGTCTAATCCCCGTCGGAGGTCGAGGGTTGACTCTCGGAAAGAAAACTTACCCGCTGTGAGGGCCGGGACTGATATGATTGCGCCGACGGTGGCTCGCCAACGCTGGTCTGGGTACTTGCGGCGATTGCCACTCGCCGGAAATTGATATAAGTGAGGATGAAAGCGTGGCTTGAGAAAGGTGTGATTTGAGAATTGATCCCAATCTGAAATTCTGTGGTGGCCGGCGTGTAAGAGAGAAGAGAGATTGGCTTAGTGTTGCTGAAAAGTGGGCAAAATACATAACTAACCGCCTATTAAAACAAAATTCCATTAAGATAACCGACTGTACAGATTAGAAGTTACTTAGAGCACGTTTGTTAAGGTGGACGAGACAAGATAATTTTTATCATGTCTACCAAAATTGTTTTGTAGAGATATGATGCATACTTTATTTGTGTGCATAATAGACACAAGATAAGATTTTAGAATATGATGTGTTATGCATTTGTTGCCTTAGACAAATGATAAAATAAATAGGACATTTACCAAAATACCCTAAAAAACCAAAACAATGTAACATGAAAATCGCCCAATTTAACAAAGAAGCTCCAAAATTCTTCAATCGAGCCAATTATAAATTACATCTATAATTTTCCCCAAAAAATAAAACCCAAAAACCGGATGTAATTGGTCCCAAAAAAATCAAACTCAAAAATCGTATATGATTAGGTGGAGGTTCAGTTTTAATTCTACGGATTAAAGAAAGAAAAGAGACATTTTTGTTTTGTTCACATCTCAAAATTTTGCAGTTATCACATTTTTTTTATTTTTTATTTTTTTGCGTAGACATTGAGATGGGGCAAAAGAAATTGGATATTTTGATTGAAGAAGTTGAAAATATAAATTTGCCCCAAAACACACGTCTCTGTTCTTTCTGGAGGA